AGGTTAGATAAAGAAAAGGTCTCTGGTCTCTGATGTAAGCTGTTTCACAGCTTTTCAACATTTATATTATAAGGTTTCGATTACTGCATCATAAATAGAAATATCCGTCTTTGAAGGCCAATCTACCTCGGCACTGTTGCTGTTCTACAGAACATCCTGACTTCTTAGTCGACATAAGCAGTGTTTCGGATTCAACGCAAAACAAATTAATTATCCCTCACTCAGTGCGCCACCGTTCACCTCAATCTTGCGAGAGAAAAAATTAACCATTAGAGATCAATTGAGACGGTCCATAAGTTGACAGCAACAAAGGAACATGACCAAAACAAAGGAAGCGATAAAAGTAGTATAAGCAGCTACTGACTTTGCGTATATGCATATGAAGCAGTTTTCAGTATACCTGGTTGGCTTTCGCAGCAAGGTACTATGTTCTGCTGGAAGTGTTTCGGTCCAACAACACGGGTGTTGATTTTCGTACACTGTTTCAGCAAATGTCGTTTCATGTCACTGCGATAGAAAGCAGCCGTACTGCACAGGCGACAGCGAAAACGTACGAAGCACAGATGCGCATAGCAATGGCGTTCGGTATTGCATCTGGTGGTGAACTGGTTGCCGCAACGACGACAAACGAAGTTCTTCAGGTCGGCCAGCTCTTCAATCTGCTGTCGCTGAGACTTGGTGAAAATCACTGGAAATTTGTCCACGTCCCCGTCATCGGCGCTCGTGGCCTTGGCAGGCGACGATTGACTCGTTCCACAGCGCGAATCCGACGCTTCTTTCGGTCGCTCTTTGTCCTGCTCCCTTCGAGATGCCTGATGCCGGACTACAGCCCTTCTGCTCCTTTCCTCTCGCACCTGCGGCCAAGTGTTCGCGTACTCCTTACTACTGTACGGTGATTTGAGTGCGCGACGCACTCGTAAGTGCGGCGATGTCTTCGTCGCTGGCGACGTACCATCAGGTGGTGGTGACTTGTTATCTGCATTGATGTTAGGCGACTGTTTCTTCTTTGGGGTCTCTATGTCAGGGTTCTCCCAATGCACCAACGCCTTGTTACCTCCGTTGAACTGCTGCTTACCATTCAACGCTTTATGCGGCGGTACCCTTAGACGACGGCTGCGCAAATTTTTTATTGTTCCGGCACAAACACCAGGCAGTTCTTCACCCGACGTCTTCAATCGGCGAAGGGGACGACTGCGAGACCTTTTATCGTTATGACTCTGACAAGCTGCTGACTTGGACGCCTCGCTGTCAATCTGACCAGCTAGAAAACCAACGTACAACGCGGTCAGTGCTCGTTCGACGTCTGACAGGGTCAGGATCGGAAGAGTGAAGTCGTTCGTCCACGATGGAACGTGATTCACCTGCATACGAGGCATCAGAGTCAGGGTCGACGGTTTCGCCTGTGGGTCGAAATTCGACTGCTGCGCCGCCAATGTCGAAACCTTGGACCCCGTAGTCAGTATAAACTTGGGCAAGATCTTGATGTAGTTTCGACCAACCTCGTTTGGCTTTGATGTCACAGACGACGAAGACTTCAGCTGCAGCACGATGTTTCTCGATTTATCGAACAACATAATTGCCGCCTCTTTCTTGCCGTTGGAAGGAAAGGTAACGACTCTTTGCTCAACGGATGTTCCTTTAGGATTAGCGCTGTTGATGGGGACCACCACCGCACCGGAGTTCAGCGACGCGGTTCCCGTTCTCACTTGACCAGCATTCGCTTCAGGCGCAGGCGGTTTCGAAACTAGTGTGTCTTGACCATGTCTTTTTTCAGCCACAATATGAATGTCTTCCGATCCAGCGGACTGCTTAAACGGTTCATCCAATATCGGGAGCACCGTCGAAAGATGCGGCACCGCTTTGTCGGAAAGAGCATCGCCGTTGTTCTGCTTTTGGCGTCTGCAATTTTTAGCGCATTTCTTCCGCCTATCCGCCCATCGCTTCATCACTTCTGCGGTGTGACGTCTGGCGATCGAACGATGGCGGAGTTGGAGGTGAGAAGCGAGGGCGGGAGATCCGAAAACCTGCCTGCCGCACAGAAAGCACATCTGAACGCCTGGAGGTTGAATATCGACATGTGAGTAGTTCAGGTGGAAAGCAAGAGTTTCGATGTCCGGAAAGGTTCGTTTGCATCGGTCCACCAAGCACGTAAGAGTCATTAGGTCGCAACTGTCGCAACACTCCAAACGGGTCACAATCGCCAACTCCTCGCGACTGACTGTTTTAACAAATTTTGAGGAATCATTACTACCACGAAGACGTAGTTCCATCGAATGCTGACGACTCATCGGCGCATTATTTCGTGAAACCATAGTTCCATCGGAGTTGTCGCCCGCGGTTTCGGTCTCTCGTAATCCGGTGATTAAGGAGGGCCTTCGTCTGATGCTCTGATAACCACGAATGAACAGTGTTTCAGCTTCTTCTGGGTCTAGTAAACGTTTCGTTAGAGATTTCAAAAGATTCATCGTAATTTCTGTCCCGGGGCGATCTTCAGCGCCCGTTGTACACTCCTGTGCGGAACGAAGGCCATCTTCACGCACGTCATCATGGTTCAATTTCCCATTCTCACTGTCACCTGTATCACCGCTGAATTCGTCGACACTTTTTGCCAAAACGGACCTAGGACAGTATTCCCTCTTGTGCACAACGAGGTCTGTCACATTTCTGAACAAATTTTTGCATATTCTATAAAAAAAGATTGCTTAAAGTGTCAATCTCGATAAAAAAATATTTTTACCGGCATTCATATAGTAAGGTACATTCATTGTCCAGAAGATCCTTCACCTCATCGGTTCCATGTTTCATCGATTGAACAACTAGCTCAATACCGTTGACGCCTGTCTCCAAACTACACGTAACCACGGATTCATCGATGCTCTTCGAGGCTGCCATAACTATAAACCTATTCGCCGTTGCAAAAAAACTGTAGCAACTCAGGGTTGTTCTACACTACAACGAATTACATGCCAAAGACAGGTTAGACAAAAGTTTGCTTTTATTTACATTATCTACTCACTCACTTAAAAAATTAGTTCATATTAAAATCTATCATACATAATGGGAGAATAAGGCACTTAATCTTTACTCATGTATCAGCACCAACACACGTCACTTGCGACAAGGTGTTATTTGGTACCATAGTGTGTACAGAGTTTCAGAAACCTTCGTGCACCACATGATGGACTAGAAAAGTTGTCACTGCATGTGTTCCACCATTTTCTGCATATACTTCAGCAGTCATCTTTCCACGCACGCTAACATGCGAGTTCAAAGAGCCTGAGGACACGGACGAAACCTGGTGCGAAATATGTGCTAAAACGGATCCGAATTAAACAAATGATCTTAATGACAGCAATGATCTTTTCAGCTTGTTTACAGCATCCTTGGTGATTAACAAACAAAAAAATCCCAGCAGCCGATCTTACTGCGGTCAAAAAGGGGAAACCATATAATGCATCAATTCCAAATGCTCGCTTCGTGAGGTGATCGATAGAAGGTAACTGACATCAAAGCAATTACCCGCAGTCCATCAGTTAATTCATCCTGACATCTTCGCTCAACTTTGTCAGCCCTCACCCATCAGCTACGACAGATGAAGTGAATTTGTCTGAAGACATCTGTAGGTCGGCCCAGATCCTGGTTATTTGTGTGACTTTCTCTGGCGTGTATTTACAAGCAAGCGTTTGGTCTTAAAATAAAACTTGAAGTAAAACATGTTGACACCCCGGCATCCGGAAAAAGCATCGCCGTCAGCTTTCAACTGGCGGATGTCCCATTATGTTAATAGTTACCCTACCCTCTCAGCACCTTCCAAACATACCAGCGCCAGACTGGTCTGCAATCGTGACGAGCAGCCGCTGATTCACTGTCTCATGAATTCAATTTTACATCTGTCACAATTAACAACAATGTTTTTCCAGCAACGTTGACGAAGAACGTTTGTTTGAATTGTACTTTAGTCTGAAAAATGACGATCAACTAGAACCTTTGGATGGAAAATGGTTATGCGAGAAATGAATATGCAGAACAAATTTTTGTAAGCACTTACGACAGCTGAACACCTTGAACAAGAACGCAGTTCCAGATAGAAAAATTACCTTTGAGATACAGTTCTTCCTAAAATAAAAATAATTATGAAGCCAAACATTGACACGAAATGCGAATACACAGAATATAGACAGAGGAGTGTGCGGCGAAGCCCGGTATCTTCAGGCATAATCACGAATTCTTGCGATTGGTAACCGCTCGAGCGAAGCCCGAGCGAAATAGCCTTCTTTTCAAAAAATGCATTGGAATTACGAGTAAGCAGAAACTCTGTGCCTTCAACTGAGACAGCAAGCGTGCCATATCTGAATATTAAGGGAAAGCACCGAATGAGACATCAGGCCAACTGCAGCTCGAATATGGTTGAACAGCAACAGAAAAGGCTGGATCAGTGGCCTATAAATGTCGGTCCCATCGCGTCACGGCAGGCATGATATCTCATATACTGCACACAGTACTCTAAGTGTAAGATTACTGCACCACAACTCTGCCGTATAAATTTATCGTCATAATATACAACTGTTAAAGACGACATTAAAAATAAATTAACAAATTATCACCTTTAATAATAAAAAATTTTATGCTACGATAATAGCACCGGTTAAAAAATATTAACTGTACTAAAGTCATTACGTTTCATACTCTATCAGTACTGTAGCCGTAGTAATAAGAGTATTAACAGGTTTACAGACAATGGCTGGTACGTATCCTTTCTTTCTGTAGCATGTTTCCTTTAACAGGAGCTCGCTGTTCCAGTCAACTGCGCCCACATTTCTTGACCTTTGGTTACATCTTTGGTCACTCTTCGAAGTTTCACATCCTTCGATGTCACATCGAAGTTTCACATCTTTACGATATGACACCACATTTCTTTTCTTCGGTGTTCTTAAGTGCATCTCTCTGACAGAATCAGTGCTTGGACCACATTCTCAACGTACTCGTCAGATCATCTTTCCACATTACCAAACCAACTGAGTCTGCTATAGATACGTTTGTCAAAAACTGGTACTACACCTAAAGTGCCTATTGTGAAGTTGTTCGTGACATGAACGCTTCTGCTGACACCACACATCCTCTGAGTACTCGCATCTTCATGGAGTCCAGCTATTACTTGTCTGTCTTCAGGGCAGCCAAACATTTCGCTACGTACAGACTCATCACTCATACCACGTACTGTATCCATTAACCGTTTATTTTCCCTTTATTTGACGGACATCTTCTTATCGCGCCGCTCACCATTCGCTATTTGAACGACGCTTTTTTGACCGATTTATTAATTCGTTGTCGATTTCCTTATATCAGTGAAAGATGGAACTAAGATATTTGAACTCTTAGGTTTGAGACAGCAAATAACGCGTCACCGTTACTGATTCTTCAGTTGTCCTGTTTTGCCCACTGATATACTTTGTCACGTGTTCCGAAATGCCTTTGCAAAACCGAAGCCGGTTTTTCTCAAGCACTCTTCTCCATGCGTCGACTTTTGCTTCTACCGCTTTCATTGCTCAGCACTACGTAATCCGCATGCAGCATGAGGCTACGGCTTGCAGATCTTTAGTTATCGTGCCTGTCACCGTCGAGCATAAAAATGGGCACAATGCATCCTTAAATACGAGAGAATTCTTCTGCTTCATCACAGGTACTCTGAACCATCGTGATCACTCTGTCGAACATGTTTTTAGAAGGTCTAAGCTCTTGTAATAGCAATAGCTTCTTTCTCATGCTCCACCAAATTGTCTGCTTTGGTACTGAATCAAAATTTTTCTCAACGTCAACGCATACCATGTAAATGATGAAGCTAATTTCTCTGTACGTATCGAAAATTGGTAATCATCAAAAGGGGAAACATAACGTTACCATAAATCTTCGATAGTTTCAATTTTAAGAATTGAAACAACGCTAATTGATTAAACATAATCACAATTATTAACACTGCATGTTTACACCAGAAGAAGCGTTACAGATTTCAAGCCAAAACACTGCTAGATCACAGTTATTGATAGTATATGTTTAAAAAAACATTCGCAGATTCACATCACGCCGTCCTTGCAAACAGTGAGTTATGTTCCCTCAAGTTAGATCGAGTGTGACAGGAAACTTGAGCGAGTTATATAGTGTACATATCCGAAATAATCTTACTGAAGGCTACATGAAAAACAAGGACGTACTTGCATAAAGAATTCAAACAATGTTTAAAAATTATTACATCAATTAAATATCGACCTCTGAAAATTTTGTACGAACTTTTTGACCCTATACTTGTTAAGCCCTAACTTTCATAAACTGAGTAGTGTATAAGTAAAACTATGACACGCTCCTAAAAGACTCCCAAAGCAGAAGTAACAAAATACCACGTGATTCCGTGATCACCCCGTGTATCCGATGTTTGAACATTCACCATTCGCTAAGATCATCATATTTTTAACTGGTACTCAGAAGAGCGAATGACTCCGCAGCAACTCACGACTACCATAAGGGAATATGAAACAAGTCACACATTATGGCAATCGAAAATCGTCACAATTTTCGACTAAATTCGTACTCCATTTTATGCCATGGCAACCGTAAATTAATGCATAAACAACTCATCTGAATGGTGAGTCCAAAACGTGGGTGATCTTGGCATCGAATATCCGCTCTAAACCTGAATTGAATGGTATCAGAAGTAGACAGTCTCGAAAACTGCCTTACATGAATCTAATATAAAGCGTAAAGTAATGAGACACCGACGCCCAAACCCACAACCTTCCACGAAGAAGTGCACAGTGCATTACACTGTGTATGCAGAGGGTCTATTTTTTTCTGGGTTATCGGTATTCCAAGGGACGGCCAGAACATCGGTGAAACATGTGGGTTGCAAAGTTGACACCTCGATTCCAATGAAGTGATGTAGAGGTCGCCCACCGTTCGACTACTACGATAACTCCAATAATTTATAACCAATCACTCGCTATCAACAAAAACGAAATGACAGCAGTTCATATCAATCATCTGCCGAACAGATATCTCATCAATTCGCAAAACAGAAGATACAAACGTACTATAGAAAAGACTAGATTAAATTTTCTTGCATAATATGATCTGTCTTTTACTGTGCACATCTTTCGCATACATCTTGCTCGATCCTAATGCTTTTTCTTTGTGTTTTCGGCCAGCTTGCTATTACCCTATGCAAAAATGACTAAATCAAATAAACTGAGTTACGATTTACCCATTCACATGAAAAATTAAGCAGAAACTTTGGAAGTACAGGAAATTGAGCTGAAAGATTTTACTGCTGAGTAGAAGTTGAACTACTGAGGTAACTTCATCTTTCAGTAACTGATACAAAAAATTATAAACATAACTATCCACATGTAAAAGCTATCGCAAGGAAAGCAAAAGAAAGTAAAGATGTGACATGACCGGAAGTGACAGCACCATCATCGCAGTAAAACGAAAACATAATGGAATACGCAAGTACGTACAATACATACACAATGATTATGGCGGAGAAGAACGGTCTGCGCATTTACTGAGGTCGAAATAATCAACCCCTGGTCCAAAACAATGGACTGAAATTAAAAAGAAAGGAAATGCATCGAAGGCATATTTATACGTCGTAATATTCGCTTAGAGGTGCTTGTGAATTTGGCACCAGCGACCTGTAACACTGGTGGTTAGTCCGTCTGGTCATAGAAACGCATACGTTCGTTTACCTGGGTCTAACCAGGTTCAAATGATCCGAAATTACGAAGGCATTCGTTTAATGTCAGAAGATTGGCCAGCTGGGAGCACAGATCATACTTCGATGGCAGTCTTGGTTGTCCTGTGGACTCTGCAGTGATATATGCAGCTCATGTCCGGTGTTC